TCTTTGCTGACACCGGCCCTGCCCCTCAGCCGAGATCTTCATGTTTCCAAATCATGATGTCACATGCACGTGCACCCACGAGGCATTTGATTGCAGCATTTGGTGCTCCGTTGGGCTGGCCTTGCTCGGTTTCTTGGTGACGATTCAGCTGCTCATGAAGGTACCCGGACCCGGACATGGCAGTGCACACTCTGTAGCCAGCTTTGAGGCTACTTTGTGGTGATCGCTGATGCTTTTGATCCCGTTGCCGAGTTTGTCGGCTTGCCGTCAACGGTAAAAAAAAAAGCTTCTGTTTTCGCTGGAACGCTACTCGTGCCTCGTCGCTCTATGGATCATTGGCAGACTGAATCTCCCTCCCATGCAAAAGTCTGCACCGAGCATGCGTTGCACAGGTCATCCCACTTTGTTTGATGGATCCAGAGTATCTTGCTTTCAGCTCCACCTTGAGTGTGGCCGCATCTTGCTTGCATTCTGAAGAGTGGCCGCAAGATTCTCATCATGGGTCTCAGTGTGCTGTCAAGTCGGTTGCTCTGGGGAGTCCCAGGCCAATGTCTATCTGGTTCTCCTGATCACCTCTATCTTTACATTCCAGCCTCTCAGCAAATCAACGACTGCGCCTGACAGTTGTCATGATGCCAGCATCTTCATGCGAAGCCAGAAGAAAATGCGCGGAGACCTGCCAACTCCTTAATAATAGCCGTTCTTTGCGGGATGCAATTTCGCGGGTTAGTTTGGGCTGGTGTGCCATGGAACAGCTCAATGCTTGGCATGGTAGGTCGCACCTTGCAGAGTCGAAGGTCAGAAGTGACGTCGCACCACTCCTTTTGTTGGCTCGGTGCTGGCGCTTTAGCAGCAAGAAAGGGAGTAAAGGCTGAAGCTGATCTGGCAGACCTGCTATTTATGCTATTTGTAAGGTCCTGGTATCATCACGATGGGCAGTGCATTGATGCAGTCCATGATCTTCCAGCCTCTTGGTCGAAGTGCACTGGTGTAAGCCGGGCTGGTAAGGTGGGAAGACAAGCCAACTCTAAGGATGTGTACCATGCCAATGTACGAGGTGCTGGAAGACCGCAGCGTCCGGCGATTCAGTATCTGCCTAGCTATTAGCTTCTTGGTGTTTATGGGTGCAAGCATGATGCAAAATGACGGGGGGGAAGGCATTGGCAAGGCAAGCGTGCTTAAGCTCGAGCTTCGCAAGTTGTCAGGCTTTGGCTTTGTCTTTTTCCTCTTTACAACGCTCTGCCTTATGGGATTGAGTTTGTATGGTGATGGAGTTTCGTCGAACATTCTGAAGCTTGTCTGACATCGCTGCTGCACGTCCTGCTTCAGCAAGGGCAGGCCTGTCCTCGGTGTCTTCTTGGTCGAAGTGATCTAAGGAACAATCTTCCTCCGGATGTGCTACTCAGATTGACACTTCAAGCCGACGAGAAGAGTTGTCTCCCAGAGCTCTCAGGTCTGGAGATGCTGCACGAGTAGGCGTGGGCTTGTCTGTGATCGCTATCTACCCGATCTACCTCGAGTCAATGGTGGCGCCTTTGCGCCACGCTGAGGCGACGACCGAGTGCGCTTGAGTTTGGCGGCTCCGTGTGGTTGCCAGCCAGGAGCGTGCCTGGCGCCATCGCCAGCCTTTGATGCTCCCATCCCCACGCGATTCAGTGGTCTTTGATGATGCTGTGACCAGAGGCGCAGGAAGCATAGAAAAATGTCAACCATGGAGCATTCGCAGTGGACAGCGCTTGTATTCGGAGGGGCTATTGTTTTTGGCTTTGTTTTTGCCTTTTTTTTTGGCCTGCGGGAAATGCGTTGGGTGGGGTGCAGGGGGGGTGCGGGGGCTGCGGGGAGCTCGCGAGGCGTGGGGGCGGCGGGGAGGGGGGTGCTCGAGGCCCAAGTCTTTACGTACAAGTGGAATTCGAAGCAATATACAGTTGGAAGCAACGTACCGTATTGACATGACTTAGATTAGACTTGATGCGATCTGTCATACAAGCATGGTACAAGATTCTATCTTATATTGGTATTGATTCGGAATGATTTGTATATTGAGGTAAAACAAGCTCTTACATCAACAGAAAATTCCAGTGTTGGTAATTCTGAAACTAGGTTACAAGTCAGTCTAACGTTAATATAACAAAGACTCGTATTGCTATATGGCTATGTGAAGACTATATCAAGAATATGCAGAACTTGCCTACTATGTTAATAGACAACAACTCTTACTTACGGTTACTATTAATGTCAATATTTGTTTCTATTCTGCTATGGTAACGAATAGTATATTACACAATAAAGCCCTACCACATAGTATATACACCATATTATGTTGTGTTATATTGTGTTTGGTAATGCTATGTTATCATACCATGTTATATGAGATTGTTGTAATATAGCGTGCATATATATATATATACAAAACTATGTATATATGTAAGTATATATATATACACACTATAGGATAACTATATTATGTTGTATTGTGCTACAGTATTGTTTGAAAAGGCTTGAAGAGTATGTTCATAAACAAAGTTTCATATCGTAACACTGAGCCATAACATATACATATATGTATACATATACATGTATATACATACATATATTGTAGTATGTTCGGTTATATCATCTTATGCTAGATTGCCTTTAAACTTTAAACTATATGGTATTTTCTCCCTCATACTGTAATGCCGTACCATTTTGAAGAGTTTTTCAAAATGCATGCTCTGCGTGTGCAAAACCATACAATATCAAATAAACTTCATTATACAAAAGAACATAACCCAATAGCATGTAGTGTCAGTTCATGTAGTAAACTGTAATCCATATTATAATCGTTGAACAATGACCCGTCATTCTAATGCCTTCGAAATTGTACATCCTAAACTGTGACCCGACTCCGAGAAGACCTGCATAAGATCGGTTTCGCAAGCTGGACTTTTCTTCGCGAGGCTGGTCCATCAACAGTCTGTTGGGTTGGGGGGGGGCGGGGGGCGTACAGCTGGTTCAGCAGCACGGATGTTGTGGATGTCTAAAAGAAAAGTTTCAAACAATAATGTAGCACAATACAACAATATATAGTTATCCTATAATATTTGTTTGTATATGTATACACATAGTTTTGTGTGTATATATATACACCCGCTATATTTTTTCATCGAGTATAGCATTGTATGATCACATAGTAATATTAAACAGAATAGAATACAACATGATATCTTGTATATAATGTGCGGTAGGGCTTTATTGTGTAGTATACTATTCTGTACCATAGCAGAATGGAAGCAAAAATTCACATTCTTAATGTAAAATAGTAACCGTAAGTAAGAGTAGTTGTCTGTGAACATAGCGGCCAAGTTCTGCATATTCTTGATATAGTTTTCATATAATCATATAGCAATACGAGTCTTTGTTATATAACATTAGACTGACTTGTAACCTATTTTCAGTATTATCAAGACTGGAGTTTACTGTTGATGTAAGAGTTTGTTTTACCTCAATATACATATCATAGTGAATCAATATCAATATAAGATAAAATCATATACCATGCTTGTATGACAGATCGCATCAAGTCTAATCTAAGTCATGTCAATACGGCATGTTGCCTCCAACTGTATATTGCTTCGAAGCCCACTTGCACGTAAAGACTCGGGCCTCGAGCACCCCCCTCCCCGCCGCCCCCACGCCTCGCGAGCTCCCCGCAGCCGCCGCACCCCTTTTGTACCCCAATACCCCACCCAACCCACGTCCCGCAGGCCAAAAAAAAGGACAAAAAAGCAAAGGCCAACAAATTCTCCACTCCTTGTATTCGCGATGGCAGGCGCTTCCGGTGATCTCGAAGCCGAGCCATCCCGCAGCTCCATCTCATGGACAGAGCTCCGCAGAGTCGAATGCATGAGACAGAAGACATAAGGGGCGCACAGCCCATCTAGGCATGGACCTGTGACCGAAGAGGGCATGCTTCGAATGCGGTAAGCCGCCAGGATGTCAGATCGGCTCCTCAAGGTTCGAGTGAAGGCTGGTCTCGTTTTTTTGGAAACGTTTTTCACTGTCTGATGTTGGAACTACGGAGAAGCCAGGTCTTCCAGCTCCATGCAAAGCTTCCAATGCGGCCCTCGCATTTCGCTGCTGTGGCCATCATATTGGGGTCTGCAGCTGGAGGCGGTGATTGGAGTTAGAAAGGGTGAACCCGTTTCTAGACAGGCATCGGATTCGATCAGTAGAGAGCAGGAGGCTGTGGACATGAGCCCAGTGATGAGGTAGCTAGGTAGTCCTCCTGCACAAGCTGTTTTCAGGCTGTGTGGTCACTCACCTGGGCTGCTTGGATGCCATATCCTGGTATGCTGATGCCGAATGATGAGAGCTTCAAGAGCCAGATCGGTGTTCATGTCAAGGCTGCTGAATGGATGTATGCTTCTAGACTTCTAGAATGCCAGACTGCTGCCAGCCTGTTCTCCCTTTCCAAGGACTTTGCAATATCCTGAACGGAGCCAGTCAGGTGTGAGAGCATCGTAGCCGTCGCGCTCAGCTCTCACATGTGCGTGCGCAGAACAGGTTGCTGCCATGGTCGGCTGGGCGCCAGGATTTGCAGGACTCTTCCTACTGGGCTGGGACCACAGGCTCAGCTGATGTGCACGCTGGTCATGGAAACCTCGTGCTTTGATTGTGCTGTGCTCCGAACCTCGCGGACAGGTGCTGGCAGCTTTTGATGGTTCTGCTGATCGTCTTTTCAAGCATGATGTCCGGGATCCAATCATGGCCAAAGGAGAAAGCTGTAATGTCAGCTTGGCACCGTCCATATCGTGTGAAGCGCCTGAAGCTGGAAGAAAGGTCAATGGTGGGGATGATGCATGTGGGCTGCAATAAAGACGCACATACCGTGTTGTTGTACGAGTGTCAAGCACAGATGTGGCGAGGCGGGGTTGTTTTTCCTGCAGACATCTTGAGGTACAGAGACAACTTTGTAAACTCACTGAACTGCATGTGGGAATCAAGCTGAGCACTGTCAGCCGCGACACGCTGCAGTTCCATGCTGTCCCAGAGGTCCGTGAGGTTTGGCTGCTCGCGCAGACACCTTCCTTCAGTATCATACGAAGACAGGAGAAGCAATGCCCCTCATATTCAAGCACATGTTAAGGGTCTACAGCTAAGCGGCTTCGTGAATCCCAGTTGAGTATCGCGTGAAACCGAAAAGCAAACCACATGTCTCAGTTTGTGTAATCCGAGCAGAGAGCACAAACCTTACGAAGTTCAAGCAGTGATTTTGCTGCTCGCATGCAAGCGAGAGACACGCCAAAGGAAGCGTGCAAGAGGCCGCCTGGAAGCAAAGGCTTTTTGCGGCGGATGCATGAGAGAGTGCTCTCTCAAGCATAGGTGTTCCGGACATTGTGTGGTGTCAGGGCATGCCGAACTCCCCTCCAAAGTTTACTGCTTCGGAGTCGGTTGCGATGATCAAACCTGATTGACAAAGAGCATCATTTTCGAAAGGATTCCTGCATTGATATCGCATTCGAGATCCGAGAGGGGCATACTCGCCGGCAGAAAAGCCGAGACGAAAAAAGGTAAAGATGGCGTCACTCTTTCCGACCAGGTCGGATTTGCGGTGGCGCAGCACAAGGGCGAGAAGGCCGAGATGCTGCTGGAGGCAGCCGCACCATGCGAGAATGACTCTTCGTTTGCTTCCATTCTGTCGAGAAACTTTCGGCTGGTCACGTTGTGAAGGTCTCCGAGTCCACGGATGTGGAGCAAGGCCTTTGCCCCCACTGTCAGTGAGAGGGAGCGTGGGGAGTCCACAAGGGCTGGGCAGGAGCCGGAGCTGCTCGACAATCCTTCCTCTCACGCGTGCGGAGGTGAATTGATGCTGGCGCCTTGCTCGATGGTCGCGAGGTTCTTTTCAAATTGTGGCTGGTTCATCTGGTTCTAAGGTCTGCGCCGAGTTCCCAAGGCATGCATATCGCTGTATGCAAGTCAGCTTAAAGTCCGGTTGTGCTGAGGCTACCAGTTGCACATGTGGTGATTCCACTCGTAGCATGCTCATGAGCGCGAAACTCGGGACTCCAGGACACGGCCGACATTTCACAGCGACGGTTGTACACGTGAGTCTGGCCGATCAGTCGCGGACTTGTGCAGCGGGCCAGCTAAAGCTGTTTTGCTCTCGTTCCCTCATCGTTAGCCCAGTTTAGATACCCTTGTTTCCCCTGATGCATCTGAAAAGCCTGTGTTAGCGAATATCTTCGGTGTGCTTCCGTGCTTTCACCTCACGTGATGGAGCAATCCGAGCAGAGCAAAAGTGCAATGAAAACGTCCCGAGCCCCACCCCGAACCCCAGGGCTTGCCTGGGCTCTGTCTATCCCTCTCCTTCTGTCTGACCTTCCTGCCCTTTGAAGTCAAAATGAGTCCGTAATGCTTTCATGACTCACAAGCTCATCTGTCGGACAGCGCAATTGAAGCCTGCTTTTGCTTTTACGCTGCACGGTTGGTCTGAACTCTCAGCATGTACACGGGCCCAATCACAGCTTCTTGTATTCTGGCATATTCTGGCCGTGCAGAATCTTGTCGCTACCGTCCGCTGTATGGCTCACCTGCGGGGAGGACTCCGAAGTGACAGGGGGCATGCTAGAGGTGTTAGCATCAGAATTCAGGAAGAAGTGTAGTGGGAGACAGACTCAATATCACAACAAGTGGTGTGGCTGTCCTCTACAATTTGACATGGCCATGGTTGTGCTTGGTTGAAGCTGAACATCCTCTAAGAGGCCGCGCATCTGAAGGCTTCGTGTAGACGAAGCCTTCAAGAAGAGAAGAGTTCCTGTGAAGGTCGCAGCTCGCCATGTTTTCCTGCCTGTGTAGTGATGCCCGCGGCCCAGAGTGTTCAGAGCCTTGTTCAAGGCTGGGCTGACACTACGGACTGACCCCCTTCGCAGGCAGATGCAGATGAGTTCGAGACGCAGATGGACGGTCCAGTGACTGGCTTACTGTAGCTCCTTTCAACACCTGGAACACCTGGAGTTTTCGAGTCACTTCCAGCCGAGGCTCCCCCTTCAGCTGCAGGAGACCAATAGTGTGTTGCCAGATGATGCGGACACGTATTTTTTGGGGACCGTGACCTCGGAAAGCTTTGGAAGGACCTGTGGACGTTCCGCACAGCTTCACAGCTACAGCCGCGTGCACGAATATCTCTGATGCTCTGTTGGGTAGCCACGACAAATCAACTTGTTGTCAGGTCGACGAGGTGAACAAGAACGTGTACACAGTTTCCTTTGACAAGCCTGCCGGCTTGACAGGCATCCGATTCAATCACGTGCCTTTGCCGCAAATTATCCAAGGCTTGCGGCTTGCAGTGCTACAGGTTGGCTGTCTAGACAATTTTAAAAGCAAAACACGCCAGGAAAAGCCGAAAGCATCCGAAAGCCAACTACCAGTAACCCAGTAGCGCTTTTTTGCCATCTCCAAGTTGCAGAAGCGAGCAGAGGCTCTCGCTCTCATGTAAGGTGGACAGCTTGCTGGTTGTCGAAGACGTTGGTTCTGACACAGTCTCGCAGTGGAACACGGCGCAAGCCTCTGCAGACACTGCCGAAGCCTTAGATCAATTGGATCTCAATCGCATTTCTCTCGATATCTGAAACCAGGTAATACAGCCGATGGATCGCGTTGTGAGCATCAATGATGAGACAGGTTCCGCTGAGGAAGCCGGATTTTATGTTATCTCTTCCAACGTCTGTGCTCCGAATCACACTGAATGCGTGTGTGCGTGTCGAACGTGAAGCTGGGAATGACTGGTGACAGGGGCCACCACACTGTTTGATGTGCGCAGTTCTTTCTTCGCCGTCCCATGCCTGTCGGACTTCCGCGATGGAATCGCTACGACACGGCTTCTTGAACTAAGCTTGGCATGACTGGAAGAGAAGTGCACATGTGATGCCCGAGTTTGGTTGCAAGTTGCGTAGTGGCTGTTTGGGTGTGTGTGTGTGTGATCGGCTTTTTGTCGAAGTGCGTGGCGAGTGTAGCAGTGTAATCAGTTGTCATCACCGTAATTTTTCTCGGCAGGAGCTTCTGGATAAATTTCACCAAGCGGGGAGGATAAGCATAACCCTGGAGCACCCGACGTGCTGCCCTCAAGAGTTCCAAACGGCACATAGGGCATAAGGCTTGTTCTTCAGACTGACATCCCGAGGTACCTAACTATCGCATTGAAGAAGAAGAAGGGCGAAAAGCTGTTGGGCGTTGAAGTTGTACCTCAAGAAGGTGGTCTTGGAGTCGTCATCCTGAACCTCCAGGCCACATGCTAATAGGGAGGGGCAGATGAGTGTCGATAGGTGGATCGGGTCTGATCACTCACTGCCGCGAGGAGGAGGGTCTGTTCCCGAGCTACAATGCCACTGCAGAGAAAGAACTGCAGATCAAGGCCGTTCGAAAACGTTCCTTGAGCCTTCCACAATGTGCCAAATGTTCAGGCCTACTCCAGCATCTATGCCATCAACGGAAAGGTTTGGCCCAGCGCAGAGCTCAACCATCCTCGGTGGCAGTAATGCCATACGCTTCACACAAGGACCCTGCGTTATCTCGATGCAATCTCATTGCTCTCTCAGGTCTCACTCTTCTTCGCATGCTGCGGAAGCTTGAAGAGATTCAGATCAGCTTGAGGACATGGTCATAAATTCCGAAATTCGTTTTAAGTTGGATGCAGAAGGTAAGGCGGTTTTCAAGCTTCCTAGGATGTTTCCTTTCGGCCCCACCCCTGCTCGACATAGCATGGAACGAAGTCACAAAGTTCCTCTGCAGAATGCAGAAGGCAGCGAAGTGGCGCACGTGGGCAAAACATAAAGCCGGAAGTAAGGTCTTTGCATGTTTGTAGTAGGTATCAGTGCCTCGCATTCCATCCGAGTGCCGGCGAACCCATTGCACGTGGCTTGCTGTCATCTTGGAGAACGGAACGGTACCAGGATCATGGTCAAAACACTCCAGTTTGCTTCGGCTTGTAGTTTGAAGGTCCCAAAAGCGAATAAGCCATCGGCGCAGACATTGTAACATGCCCAGCCACAGCTCGGCAAACAGCAAATCGCAGACATCTTCCGTGTCGCCATGGCAAAGAAGCCTCCAAGTCGCTGCCTGATTTTGGCTTGCATCTAGCATCTAGCCGCTAGAGTCTAGATGCAGTTCAGGGCCTGTGCACAGAGAGAGCAACTTGGTGCTTCTTTAACTGCAGTGTCGGCAATGTCCTCTGCAGTTCCAGACAACGTGATTCCGTTCCTTCGCATTACCGTGCCAGTGCCCCGGGGACATGCATGCTTGAAACGGAAGGCAAGGTCTTGGAATTCGCCAAAGCTGACTGCAGACATGTTGTACCAGAAAATTACAGCTGCACTCCACAGGTGTTTGTAGGAAATCCAAGTATGTCTCTTGCCGACAGCAAGGATTGGTGATGCGGACAGCGGGAAGACCAGTCAGCGCCTTTGCCACCCCTACACAGCACGTGTTGGCAGTGTTGCGGAGACGAGGGTCTTACTGCAGGACGTTATGAGGAATGTCGCATGGTCAATGAAGCATGCTGTGTTGCACAGGAATCAATTACGTAGTCTGGCTCAGGCTTGATCAACGCGTGGCTCAACAATGCAGTGTCTATTGCAAACTCCCCAGCAGAGGCATTTGGTAAGGCTGGTTAGCTACGATATGCTGGGACAAGTGCATTTCAGACCACCTTTGCCACCGATTTCTTGTGAGCGATGCACTCATGACCTTGGCCCGCTAAGAATTACACTCCCACTCTTGATCCGACACTGTACTACAGGACCCGGCTGCATGACAGCTCACAGGGTCTCACTGATCCGAGATCTCTGCTGATCAGGACGATGAAAATTCCCAATCCTCTGAACGAGGACGAGATGGTGACTGCTCTCGTCGAGTCTGCTTTGCTGGTTGAATTTGTGTTAACACTTCTAGCATGTCTGGGCATGCCGCATGACAGGTTGGAAGACACGTATGCCCCAATCAGGACGGGTGGTGTAGACATGCTGGAGCCCTACTGAGTAAGCCTCAACGACACGCCTTGCCGAAATGGGAATGCCTGCTCAGATATGGACAGAAGCAAGATATCAATGAGCTCCTAGAGGTGGGGCGTGCGCATGTTGCATTCGCGCGTGTGTGTGAGTTGGGGTGTGCTCCGTGACGACCCAGTTGGCTTCCTGCAGGTGAAACCACCTCCGGCGGAGCCTGTTGCTTTTTCCTAAGTGCCTTATGAGCTCAGCCAACAGGGGGCAGTTCGGCCCACTGTGTCCAGGTGACGCCGCAGTACTTTGGTCCGTTTGCCGAGTACGAGGCGCTTCCGAACGCATAGCCGAAAGGATGCGCCACCGTGTGCCGATGCCTTGTCGAGTTGTTGAAGGCGCTCACAGAGCTGAAGCTGGTTTCTCGGACGGTCTGCATACGGTTGAAGCGCCTTTGTTTCCAATGCCACCTCAGGTACGAGCCTCTGACCCGATGCCGGCCCGTGACTGAGCTATCTTACGATTCGAGAGGCGACGAGCAGAGCCAACCGCAGGGTTTGGCTTTTTGAAGGCTAGACTGGCAACTTCCATTCTGACAATTTTCTCTGTGAGCCCGGTTTGCTTTCCCGCCTTCGGCTTTGCAGGTGTCGCATGTTATGTGAAGGGCGAAACTTGTCGACAAAGGGCGGCGGCCGACAATGCAAAAACTCAAAAAGTGTCAGATCAGGATGGGTTTCCTGCTGATCTTTGATGCCACCGTGGAGGCCCTCCGTGGCCAAGTTTACCGAAGATTTTAAGCCTGCTTCACGAGGAAAGAACAAGAAGGCACAATGAAACGTGCACGAAAAGGTGGGCATGTAGCGCATCGTACTCGGCTAAGGATGACGTCAAGACACTCAATGGACATGTTCTTAACTTCGGTGACATGAATCTAAACGAGCAGGATCACGACAACATCGATGACGACAGAAGTTGTCAGCGTTCGATAGCACAAGCAGGAGTAGATCAAGAAACTGCAAGAACTCTAAAGTCGTAGAAGAGACACGGGCCAGCAGATTGTCTCCTATTCAGCTTTCATCCATGGATTTCCCCTGGAGGATTTAGGGTTCAGGGTTTTGGGGTCAAGGCTCACATCCAAGGACTGCGTGACAAGGTCTACCTCGGTCAAGTCTTGTGGGTCTTCCATAGAACAATAGCTTATTCCGTTCCACAGCACAGTTCCGTCCTGGTCACACTATTCCTCTGCCTTCTTATAAGAAACTTGCAGAACATTACGTCTGTGTGTATACATATACACATTTTCTTACGCTTGTACAGGGACTACTTTACTCTACCTACAAGCAATGATCTGTGATTCCTCGAGATGATCTCCAACTACATATAAGCACTGCCAGGTACTACTCTCTTTCCACTACATACATTAGACATGACAAGTACACAGATTCGGACAATGGGTTGTTTACAGAAACACCTAGGACCTAGCTTTTCCGCCGTGTACCTCCGGCTTCTGGTTCGTATTCGGCTTGCGCTTTGGGGAACGATCTCTGTCAGGATCGGTGGCTCCACCGCAGCTGTTCTTGTCGTGGCTGAGGCTGTGTACTTCCTCGTGAGTGGAAGCAGGCTTCTGCCTAGATCCACATAGGATTTCCAAAAATGTTGTGCTGCAGGCAATCATCACGTTGTTAGGTGAACCAGCCCTTTAAATCTAGAGCATGGCGCATGGTGTTGGAGGGTCCTCGAAGTGTCCGTCTCAAACTGGCTTCGGAAAAGCCGCCAAACGCGTGAGCGGTGAGTCCGATGACATCGTGCTTGCCAAGGACTTCTTGAAGAGCTGCCGCGTAGTGGTTAGTGATGCAGAATTTGAGGATGGGATCTGGGGTCGGCGACGATTTTGAAGGCGAAGGAGAAGTCGTTCGCACGTGGTATGTTTGGCTTAATGCGCCGTATTCCAGGTGCTGGCCTCCATGGCAAGAGGCGAAAAACTCGGCAAAATGAATGTGAATGTGATACCGGACCACTTGATCGAACACGGTAGGCGAAGCAAGGATTGGAATGCCGTTTTTCAAAGCACAGACGCAATGTCTCAATGTCTTTACGACATGATGAGTGCGTGCACGAACATGGAGAAGGGATGCAAGGACGATGCCAGCAACAAGCTTCCGATTTTCACGTCCTATCCGGCCAGGAAGGGCAAGTGCGGCGTTATTTTCATCGACCGAATCGAGATCCACGACTCGCATTTTTATGGCCACGGCTTGGGGCCTTTCTTGCTCAATACTGGGCTGAAGTACATCGACGGCGAGTTCGTGAATGAGACAGGACCAGTGTACCTCAAACCGTTTCCGCTGCTGTGGGAAAAGAAAGAGGGCGATGCGCCTCCGGCGCCGGACGATCCATTCAAAACCAAAATGCTGTCAAAGGCCCACGAACAAGAAATGCATCGGGACACCTTGAATCTGATCGAGTGGTGGAAAAAATGAGCTTCAAGGAAGTGGATGGCTCAAAAGGGGGCGGTTTCGACGAGTACGAATCTGGCTACATGGTCCCGGCGTCAGTCCGTAAGCGGAAGTGGATTCGGTCAACGAGCGAGGTCACCATTTGTTATTGGCTGGGGCGGCCGTCAAAGATCCAATGTGAGGGGGCATGATGCGGGATCGGGTAATGGTGAAAGTCCTGGTCGCAGTTGGCGTGCTGAGTGTTTGTACTCACTACTCGCATCTGAGGCAAGTCTGCTTCCTGTGGAGGGGGATCGGACAATAAACAATGCTGTCAAGCCAGGAGTCGTTGAAGACCGCCATGGAAATGTTTACAAACATTTGCTTGCAATCGGCGTCCAGTCCTCGGAAGAAGATCGTGGCGCCGCTTGTCCATGGTTCGTGGAGTGCAGTGAATCTAGGTCCAAGACCACTTTGCCGTGTGATCCTCAGTCTTTCTCTGACTTCTCAGTGTCAATGCCGATGTTTGAGACACCCGCCTCGCAGCCTGGGCTCAAACATGTGAGCAGGTTGGGGTCAAGTTAGGAGCGGGACATCGCTTGAAGGAGCGCTCATGTCAAAGCCTCGAGATGATGCAAAAAAGAGAACAGACGCTGTTGTGGCTGCCCCGAGGTAAACGGAGCTCAGGGCGCACCCGATGATATGGCTTCTGCTGAGCCTCTTGTGGCAGGCACCTTTGGAACTCATGATCAGACACTGCCCCCTCTTGTCATGATTTCAGGCAGCCTCCGGACACCAGCCATCTCAGGCCTCACGTTTGAGTGTCGAGATTCCATTCAGAAATCGGTGCATCTGGTCTGGAGGTGCCGAAACTGAGAAGAGCCAATGGTACCCCGGCCAGAGTCAAGTTGTCCTGAAGCAGCACAGAGAGAGACAGAGCGACAGAGAGAGAGAGAGCTCTCTTGTATCATGTGCTTCAGCCCAGATCTGCCACACCCCATCCTTTCTTGTGACAAAGAAGCCCGGGAAATATGTGACTTTGTCGTGCTGTACCTGCAAGGTGTTAAGCGGGCTGGAGAGTGTTTGCTCTTCAGGAGGCCACCCGCCGCCAAAATTTAGGCTCCCAAGGCCCCCCAGGATTACGCAAAACCCGCTTCTGCCCCCTGACCCCTCAAGACCTGAGGGGTGGTCCAGCAGTAGGAACGAGGCAGCATGCCAGGACGCAGCGGACCAAGAGGCGATCGAGAACCAGGGCGTCTCTGTGAAAGTGGCGGGGACACACAGAACGAAATCCACAAAAAAATGTGGCCAGAGGGGGAACGAAAGGGTATGGAAAGGGTCACAAACCTCCGCCTTTGATGAACGCCAGGAGATGAAGACGAGCGGCAAGTGAATCACATGGCCACCAATTTTTTGAACGCACATAGCTGTACCGGCGGCCTATCCGCAGAACGAAGCGGACAGTGACATCAGCTACCCCACCGCATATCGGCGGTACTTTGCTCTGAGTACCTGCTGGGGGCGATCCGCCGGGAGCTTACCGCAAACGACTCCTACCACACCTACCAGTTTGAGCAATTGGCAAGGACGACAACCTAGTTTACTTCGCCTACGTGGGATCTACAACGGGGGTGCGATTCACCGGGAGCTGACCGGGAGATAAACTTGTACTCTGGCTACCTCGCAAACTACCTGGCAAGATGGCGACTTCGGGGGAACAGCAACCGGAGATGGCTGGATCAGCAAGAGACCTCACCACAAAAGCGGGTCCGTTGAGGTCGTAACCAGTTTCATTGGGTAGCAACATGCACGCTCGTAGGCACCTTGAGCTCAACATCGTCGTGCTGTGTTGTCTTCAGTCTTGCTTGGCTCTACTGTAGTCACTGTAGTCTATTCTGTTTTGCTTGGTACGGAGTTGCAGTTCGAGTATAGTACGGGTGTTGAACGCACAAACACACCGAGAACCGCTGTAGGTTCACCTCTAGTCTAGTTGCCGCAAAGTGCTTTGGGCATCAAGTTGAACTATGAGCACCGGGGACATAGCTCTCCCACCACTCCTTCCTTTTGACTCCGAGGCGTTGTGAGACGTCTGCATCCCTTTCAATCCGCTTTGTCCTTTGGCGCGTATCGAGACGCTCTACAATTTTCCTTTCAATCCTAGGATCCTAGGGACCACACTTTTCTGTCCGAAACGTAGAGCGACGCCGACGGCAGGATTACCTGTCCTTCAACTCCACGGGACGTAAAGAGACGCTCCCTCCAACAGCTTTCTGTCTGATGCGTAGGGCGTGGAGAGACGCTATGGCAGAACTACACCAATGCTTATCCTTCAGACTACTCCTCTGTCGGGGTTCAGAGCGTAAAAAAACGCGAGAGCTCCTACTCCTACTTTCCCGTCGGGCTCAGACCAACACGTTTTGATTCTTTCGTCGGGACTGTAAGCTGCTGCAGGGGCGTTCACGTGGTTTTCTGATGTATGTGAAACCTTCGCTATGTGTTGGTTTTTATCACTGTTTGTGTTAGCTGCCCTGCGGTGGAAACCGAGTGTTCACCCCGCATGGATGACCTGACTGTCACAGTACAGGTTATTTGGATTGGTCTAGGAGGGGTGTTTGTAGGTACGAAATGTGCCAGGCAGGGGAACATGTGAGTGCCTCCCCCCGGAAGGGGTTGTTCAGACGCACAGGTGCGATCTGCGAGGCGTCCATGGGGCCCTGCACCTCTAACCCCCGAATGAAGCGGTCTGACGTTTCGCCCTGAAACTGTGTTGGAACAGAAGGAAACAGAAAGAACTTTTAGTTTCGCCTCAACAAAGTGCTCTGCAGGGTCGTCCAGCATCCCAGGCACCATCACCTTCAACACATGGGTGATGCTCGACCCGGCATCGAGCCAAGCCTTCGAGCACACCCAGAGCTTGCGCGTCCACGAGTATCTGCCGAGCTATGCCGCCTGACAGCAGACTTGCTCATGTGAAAGCTGCTGTGTTTGAACCGCCCCGAGATGACTTTCGCAGTCTCAGGCTAAAATCGGCGGGTGCTTATTGTGTGGAGATGCGCACCTACTGTCAGGTTAGAATGTACAAGGCTGGCAAAGCGCAGGACAGAAGTCATATAGCTGCCTCTTGCATTGCTGTTGATGATGAGGATTGATTTTCCATCCAACATACTGCATGCTGCTTTTTCTCGTCGTAGCCGCAGGATCTCATGCCAGACCCTTTCGTCGATGCGCCTTCTTTGGAAGGCACTGTTGCACTGCTGATGGGCTTTGCCGACGAGATCGCATCTGATCATTCAGGTCTGACCTCGAAAGAAGGCAATTGCCGGTGTCAAATCCGCGGTGTCGCGGTAGTGTCTTGTCCGCCAAGGACAAGTTCACGATGCCAGAGCTCTGGCAGAGCTACAGCTCCGAGGCCGATCCGGTTCATCTGAAAACCGATGGCTTGCACTTTAGCGCAAGGTCTTGCTTCCTCCAACTGTTGCTTACGCGTGTTCTCTTCAGAACCGAGGCTCTCCTTCTGCAGCGGAGGATGCCGTGCAGTTGCCTTGCCGGTTCGAGGACAGGTCCCAGTGCATGGCTACATTTGGCTCGTCGAGGGTGTCAGTGGATCACCGGCCGGGAGGCATTTTGATTTGAGCTGATGTCAGAACCAGTATGCAAGACTCCAAGACCAGAAGCTCTGCTCTGTCGTGAAGCCGGAACCCGGCTGTCCCATTGTGCTGCACTCACCTGGGCAAAGACTCCTGCAGCAAGATACAGAAGTAGTGACATAGTTAGCAATTGTAGGCCAGCAATGAAAGCCCTGAGATACAGCAGGGGTGCTTGCCAATGCGCAAAACCTGTGCTAGAGGAGGACCACGACTACATCGGCGTTGATGCATTAACCGTCCCACACAGTCCGGGGTCTCAGAACATGCTCCCGAACGTTGTTATGCGGTCCTCTACATAAAGCTCCTTGGTGCATTGTGGCCATGTATTCCATAAAGGCAACAGAGAAGATTGCTGCCGTGCATGCCGTCATCTAAACCGGCGGAAAGCTGGAAACTGTGTCGTGGCAGTGCTCAGTTCCGGACTGAGCTGGGCCAGATCAAACACAGGTTTGCATCCGAACTTTCGTCACCAGCTTTCGAGAATATTTCCTAGGTGGGCCTTTGGATGATCCTCCCCATCAATGCTGGTTCGTGCCTTCGGTGTGTTGTCTGCGTGAATTCTTCCCGCGAGCTGGGGCAAACTTGCAGCGATTGCCCACCAAGGATCAAGACAAAACTCCTTTCTGCAAAAGTTGTGAAAGGCGTCGTGGCTTGCAACTTGGCTAACGAATTGCACAAACAGAAGAATCTTGAAAAAGCAAAGTGAAGCAGATCCTAATAGCCTTGGATCGTGCATGTTGTTGTCTGTGGCCTTCGTCAGTCATTGGTTGGGGTATGGTGGACTCACCAGAACCATTCATGGCTGGACAAAGCCTTGAAGCTCCACCTGTCACTTGAACATCCTTGGTCTTCTCTCGTGCGCTCGCTTGATCAGAGGCGTTCGAGAGTCTAGGATCTTGTCACTGCGTCACTGGGCTGAACAACTGCATCGCTCGGAGAGTTGGCAACACACGAGATGCAAGTCAGAGGCAGAAGCTTGCAGGGCGACGTCGGGATAAACTGGGCTTTGCAGCGAGTCGGCTGCTTCGGGGAAACGGAATTTCGAATCGCTTGACATCGACCGGGTCTGTCTTGCAAGAGTCAGGAGCTTGAATCCCGATTCCAAGCCGGGCTTGGGCTTCATCCGAGAGAGCACCGGTGCTGGGGTTGATGCATCGCCTGTTTGGATGCCATGCCTTGCAGCCGAGGCGTTCCAGTTTGAATCCAGAAGGACATCATTGAGTCCGCACGGTTTTTCCTATGAAGGGGCTCCATGAGCTGTTTGCTCCAGACCCCGCGGCCAAAGAGCCCAAGTTGGCAGATGTTGGCAGGAAAAGTCGCTGTGACTTTGCAATGCAGAGAGAGAGACTGGCCGGGGGGTTTGACAGACCCCTCATGCCCTGGGGAAGAAGAGAGAGAGACAGAGAGAGAAGGCATTCCCTCGTGCGATTTCGGTGCTGTGCGAAGGAAGGGCATCACACTGTTCTTGGTCGCCAACAAGCGACTTAGGTTGCAGGAAGATTTCTAGCAACGTAGGCTAATCACTCGAATTGCATCGTCCGCACCGGCCACGTCCCAGGATTGACAAAGACCCTCTGGGGGACCGATCTTTGCTCTGCCATATGCTGCCATGGTGCTTCTCGGTGTTGAGTCTCATGGAAGGAGCAAACGAAGCGTAACCTCGGGGCAGCCCGAGCTTTCTCCGAGCTGAAAGAGCTTCGGCCTCAGCCGAGGGAGCACGTGCCGTACCTTGCAGTGCTGATGGCCGGTGGTGTGCAGCGTGCATGGACAGCGTGGTGAACATCATGGAGTGTCATTGTTGTGCTTCCGGCATCTTCACGGGTACTACAGTGCTGAAGGCAGATCTGTTCCTCAATTGCAGCATTCCAGGCAGTTCGCTAATAGTTGTTCCTCCGTTTTCAACTAGCCGGGCTGCATCAGGTTGTTTGCGTTGGAGTGCTTGCTGAGGATTCCATACTTCGAGGTGCCACCGCCCCGAGTTGGCCTGCTTGCTTAGTGACGATCTCATGTTTGGCGCTACGATTGGCCGCGAAGTATGCCCTGTTAGTGCATCAAGTTCGCGTCTTTTCAAGGTGTTTCGGGACCGATTCACATGGTGATTTTTCCCCGGATGTGCCAGGTGTCTGCGCTGCAGTTCCTTCGCGTGCACAAGGTTTTCCGAGAGATGGTCGAGAACATCATCCTGCAGCCTGAGCCCGAGCCAGGGGAAAGGCTCGGGAGGCTTTGGGTTCGGGGCTCCCCAAGGCCACAGCTCTGGAGCAGCGACTCTCTGAAGGACCTTTGGGCTTCCTTTGTATAAGTCTTATAAGTCAAAACTCCCAGCTGAAGGAGTTCTACCAGAAACACAGGCAGCAGACGATACTGCAGGACCAAACCACGGAATCGCCACGCATTGCCAAGCATGCTTTTTGCCGGATGCTGCATACTTTGCATACATTGTCGCTGTGAGGACCAATGTGTCCTGAGCTAACCAGAGGCTGCCTGGCGTGTCTTGCCCTTAAGAAAGTCTAGCGCCTCCTGGCTCCTTTCGGGGCCAGAGCTGAAGGGCTGACCGTCAAAGTACGTGTCACGGTGTCGGGTCCGTGCCTCTCAGAAACGGGTTTCGGTGCATCCACCTTGCGGACTCTTCGTGGGTCTAGTGCTCAACTCTTCGTTTCTGAGAGCTCTTGCAATCCCAGAAAGCCATTCTCTTAACAGAAGTGTTCCGTAAGAGGTCACGTAACAGATCGAAACTTCGATGGTATTCCGTACGGATATGGTATGTAAGTACTCTACCGCCTGGCCGCCATGTCGCTACTCAGCCACTGGATGACAGAAGATGGATGCTCGTATCGTATAATTTGTCGACGACCGCTTCTAATGAAATCAGCTCAGCACTTGAACTCAGGAGCTTGAGCTTTTCAGCATCACAGTCCTTGGCGGCTCCAGATGTGGCAAGACAACCCTGATCAATGCCTTCGTGAACAATTACTGCCCCAGCGTGGCGGAGGCGGGCTCCTTGTCTGTGGTCGATCCCGTTGCCCAGCCTCCAGCCTCAGGAGACAGAGAGTGCGCAGCTCTACTACAAGACGCTCAGCGTGACCTCCAAAGGCCAGAGGCTTTGGCCTTCGCGGACGGACTGTGCAAATCAAGTTACCTGATTTGTGTCGCAGGGGATGCGGCCGCGCCGCCACAGCCTGCTCTTGTCGAGCCTGTGGCTTGGTGTGGAGACTTGCTGCGGAAAGCTTTTGTCCCGGGCCGACTTCAGGATCGAAGATACCTATGCGGCCTCCAAGACTGACGGCATGGATGCGTACAATGAGCCTCGCAAGATAGCTACTCGGCTTTCAGCGTCTCCTTGCGAAGCGTCTCGGCCCTGGCAAAGCCGAGGAGAACTTCCTGAGAATGGATCGAAGCGTGCACGCAGATGGGGAGGCTGTGGAGCTGCTGCAGGGCTTCGAAACCCCAGAGGCCGGAGAGTCGGTTCCAACATGTTCCAACCGTTTTCAAGAGGTGCTTCTCGTAATTCTTTTTTGTGTGACTTCCTTTTCAGAGTGCACGCCATGCCCGATGTGTCGTGGCCACGAGCAGCATTGCCAAAGGGTTCATCAGGTTGGGGAGTACCGCCCTCTGTCATCTCAGCGCATGGCATTCATGTGCCCTGGCTGGAGATAGGCTTCGGATGCCAGAATGCGCTTCGGAATGTTATGTTAGGATCTTGACTAGGCACTCCTCGACTTGTTTTTGAGGGAAGCTTCGAAGTCTTGGTCTTAGGCTCGTCTTCGACTGCACGTCCCGGACTTCGCTGAAGGAGGCGACGGCTGACTTTTGGTGTCTGTTCAGCTGTGGCAGAGTCGGACGAAGAGCCTCTACCGAATCGGATGAGCGATGCGGAGTTCCGGGGCAGGCACAAGACCTTCACAATGCCTTGAGACTAGACATCGACGCTGTCACAAGCAACTTTGCAGCACAGCATGCCCATCACACACTGTAAACAAGGTAATGCCGTCGCCATCTGAGGACCTGTAGTGTGTTTGGTAGCGAGCCGTCTGGATGCGGATGTCACAGGCGTCAGATGCACAAAGCTTGACTGTCGGTCGGAAGCTCTTTCTTTCCTTCTATTTCCTTGCAAGATGGAGAGCATCGTCGTGCGGCGCAAAGGCAGCGCCGACAGGTAGACCGAGGTTTCCCTGGTAGAAGCTGCCTCGCAGCACTGAAGCTCGCAGATACGCCAAAGACAGCAACATCTCCTACTTCGAGCTTTCCGCCTATGACTTGAAGAAGGTCAAGACACCAACATCCGTAGCACACAGTTTCGTGCTTCACGTTTGTCGTAGGTAAAGCAGCTCTTTCGAAACGTCCTCAGCGAGATCTACTCCAGAGAAGATCTGTGGAGGCTAATCGAGCTGTTTGAGACATAACGGGCATATGGTTGCTTCGCATTCGAGAAGTCCTGTGCTGCTGAATTGCTGCATGCATTTTTGAGGCACATGCAAAAGAGACGAAAGGCCTTCAGTCGTGTGGAGGACCGAACTGGAAAGCCAAAGTGCAGAGACACCGGACCAAGACTCAGGACATCGACAAGAATGAGTTCGACAATGAGAACAGCCGAGAGGCGAGGATGCAGAGATGTCCGTGTGCCGAAGCCAACGAAATTGAGTGCAGGCACAGAAGAAGGCCGAGGAGGAGGAGTACACACGATTGGAACGCGAGGCTGCCGAGGTCACGGAAGGGAGCGCGATCCCTTCCAGCACCGAGCACGTCCCTAACATTGTAATGCAAGGCAGCCCGGGAGAACAAGGTGCGCATGTCCCGAGCGCGAAGCTAAGCCGGCAAATATATTCTGCAGGGCTTGCACATGGCGCGCTGCCGCATAACTTACTGCTTGCCTTTCTCGAGGCAGCTGACGCCGCTGAGGCCTCGTTTGCCCATGGAGAATGTGGAACAAGCTTTGTGAGACTTCTTTAAGCATGGACCGTCCTGGTTATGTTAGCTTGTCTGATCTGCACTAGCACCAGTGTCGTCCCAGCATACCCCAAATCACACAGTAGGCCGAAGAGCGACGCCGTCAAGCCAGCGAGGCTGGGCTCTTGGCTCTTGGACCTGCCTCAGAGAGTCTTTTCTTGGCATCGCGCATGGTTGTGGCATCGCGACAATTGACAATGCGCGACAGTCGCAGGAAGAGCGGCGTCGGAGCACGCAGGAGGCACCCGGGGCGGCCAATGCCGTGGTGCTTCGTTACTTGGAACTCCGCAGACCTAGACTTACACGAAGTGTGAGGACAATTTGAAAGGCTGTCGAGTCTTATGCAGCAATGAAGTTTCAGTGTTACTACATCCCACGGCGGTGAGTGTGACAAAAACAAACATCATTTTGTCATGGCCTGCTTTGGTTTTGAACGGCCCCCGAGGTTTTCCGGCTTGGATGGTTTGGTTCCTGGCCTTTGATTTGCGAAGTCCCTTGCCCCCAAAGCTTGTTGTGATGAGGAGTGGAGTACGCAGACCAGGCAGTGTTTCGCACATAAACGCGTGGGGCCGAAGCGGAGGCGGCCCTGGCTCCCAAGATTTCGCCAACTCGGAGGAAAATGGAGACATCCCTGGCCCGTTCTGCCCAGCCAGACACTCGCTTGATAGACTGGCTAAGTAGTGGATGTTAGTGGTCAACGGGGAGGGCCGGAATTGCAGGGAGCAGAAGCAACGGTCCGGTTTGGTGGGCAGAATCCTGCTCTGGGGGTAAGTCGTGCAAGGCAGTTGCTCGAGGTAGATCCATGTGTTTGACTCACTGCGCTTTCCTCACTAGTTCCTAGGGATTCGCAAGTAACCAGTTGATACCAATCGCAGATCGTGCACATTGCACGTCACATTATTATATCCTTTCCAAATACATCCTGCACGCTTAATGTTGTGTTTGTCTCTTGCATGACCTCCTATGTGCATAATACCGATAGCTTCAAGCCCTTAGCCAGCCAAATACTGCAAGGTATGCTCGTTGTATCCCAGGATTTCAACATTTCTTCCCCTGCGCAGTCCATTCGTCCGTGAAAGTTGTCAGGCGTCAAAAGCACTCCACCAGTTAGGAGAGCAAGATGAGGAGAAGCGTCTCAATCCTGGAGAGCAAATGTTGTCTGTTTCTCGTCTTCTCTGGTCGCATGCAAACACTCGTGGTGTGCTGCGAGTGCAGGACCCGGTACCGTGCGAGCCACAGGTGAAAGCGATCGCCGCAGCCCGCTGCTCAGAGCTATATGCGATCTTGACCTATAGCCGCTGTAGCTTGTCGCCACTGGCGACCAAATCTCAGAGGCCATGGTCTCGTCTGCACCGCCGACATCCTCAGGGCCAAGGCTTCGCTGGGAAAGAAAGGCCAGGCTGGAGCTAAAACGACCACCGAATTCAGCGCTTTTTTTCTCGAAGAGGCCTTCGCACCGCCTTTGCCACCTTCATCGCCTCCTCCAGGAGCACACCGCCTGGGAATTGAAACGCACCATCGAGCTCGACAGAGGGATCTATTTTCGGCGCTGGCAGGAGCGAACAGCCAGACCTTAAGTGAAGATCGCTTTGGTCTTGCCAGTGAGCTCGTCTTGTTTGCATCAGGCAAGCACAAGACGATGCTACTTGTGTTACTTGTGTCATGCTGACAGAAGTCTGCCAGGATGGTTGCCGCCATCATTCTTCTCGTAGACATGCAACGAGGCAGCGCGCTTGCAGGAGAATGTAGACGGAACTGCCGCGACAGGTGACGTACATGACTGTGATTGATGTTGACACGAATTCTGACATGTACTGCACCAGTCTGCTGCACAAGAGACGAAAGTCGTACTGTCAGGCAGCAGGTCCATCGGCGAAGTGAGCTGTGGATTGTGATGCCCGAAAAAGAAGCAGGTTCCTACCAGAGCAGCCCACACTGACAGAATTCTCTTTAGCAATGGTAAGCGTCCCCAGATTCCATGATTCGGGGTTTCGGTGCTTCGCTGCTCAGCTTGGCACGTGATCGAGGGCACCCTTTTGGCCACATGGTGACTCCCTCGCTGAGGTGGCGGAATTTGAGATTGGTGGAGTTGGAGACGGGGAAATCACACGTTTGCCACATGTCTTAAAAACAAGACATGCCTATCATGTAAACAAAATGGTCGAAAAACTGGTGTTGTGAGAGGGCTGATTAGCTTGCGCAATGAAGGTTTCTGCGCCGTTCTCTGACTTACGCATATCTTCTTCCCATCGTAGCTTTGAGAGTACCACGCAGCAGAAACTTTCAGCCAGCCTGACCAAGAGACCACATTTACAGATGAAACTCTATGCTCGCGGTTCAGCAGGACAGCATGTTATCTACTAGCCGACTTTGCCACTTTACAAGTCCTTACGCACAAAAACATCTACCCAGCATGGCCGCGCTGGGATTTGTCAGTGCCGCACCGCCGGCAGCTCCGACGACACCTTTGAAGGCATCTCTGCTATCAAGGAGTTCGACCATCAAGTAGGAACTGCAGTGCTAGAAAACTTGTGGAAGCAAAGGACGTTGCTGTGTAGCTGTGATCTGCAGACATCTGCAGACCTGCAGCGAACAGGCACCCCGATCCGCATCGGCGTCAACAGCATCCGGGCTGGGAGTCGGGGGCCTTTGAAGTCTCGCATCGCAAGCTTCTGCGACCGAGCCCTAAATCCAAACACCGCCATCGCCTGAGGGCACACACGTCCTGGCAGTCTCAGCAACTGGTGGCATTCTCTTGGCAGTTCGGCGGACAAGGCTGTGAGACTGTGCTTGAGATCACACCAATGTTCCAGCCAGTGAGACCGGTCCTGTCAGGCAGAGGAGCGCAAAAAGCCGCGCCTCGGGGGCTCGCAGTGTGGCCTGCAAGGGCCAGTTGCTGGACAAGGTCGAGAAGAAAGAGCAAGCGCGTGGCAAAGTTCCGAAGGTCGGTCAGCTAAGCTGTGATCCGATCCGTTACATCGTTATAATTCAGATTTTCGGAAGGAAGTTTAGAGAGCTGCTTTACAGCAGCTTTTTGTGGTATTTTGCAGGAGCTGGAAGAGCAGCCGGCACAAGCCGTCGCATCGACTTCGCGGGTGCCTGAGATCCCTGCAGACAGCTTGAAGGTCGGGCCATGTGGCAGCGGTCCTTTGAAGTCTTTGTGTTAGTATGTTCAGGTTTGAAGGCATGTGCCTGTCTGCATTTTGTCTTAAATTTTGTCCGTGGACTTACGACTGGCTCAGAGAAGGAGCTACCCAGCGGTTACAGCCTGCTGAGCACGGATAGCACGCAGTTTATTACCGCGGCTTCGCAGAGTCCTGTAAGTTTGCAGCCTTAGAGCAGACTTTAAACTTTACGCCGTGGCCCTGTTTGCGCCCTTCGAGATGCTGAGCGCAGTCCTCCTCTTGGCTTGCGGGGTGCGCTTGGGAATTGCAAAGGAGGCAGAGGGCTTAGCCGTTGCGAAGCCATGCGAAGCCATGCGAAGCCTGTCCCTGTGGGAGAGAGCCGCAGGCACCCTTCTTCGAGGTGGCAGAGGAGTCGGAGCCACGGCGATGCAGCCATTCCTGGTGTGAGACTAGATTGCAGAACATTGCAGACCAGGACAGGCTGACTTGGTTGGGCTTTAAGGATCCGGGTCCGGTTGAAAGCCGCTTGGAAGACTTGGTGGCACGGCTTACCGTCGAGGAGAAGCGCCTTGGACTTGACAGGCATTTCCTTTGCTGTCCTTCAGACAAAGCTTCCGAAGCCGTGAAGCTGAGGATTCTGCAACTCAGCAACGACCTCTTCGGTGGCGTTCCATCAGTCGACCTTTGACTTTTCAGTGTAAATGTTCCATGTGGTAACTTCTACTGCTCTTTATTCTGCATGTAGTCAAGGCACCCTACCCATGTATGTGCAAGAGCAAAAGGCAAGGATTAGCCTGTCTGATTTTCACATGAGTTTTTATTCCCCAACGGGGTGAGCTCTGAGGTCTTCAGGGGAAATAAGTTTGGAGGCAGATTGAGGCAAGGCCTGGGGCAGGTTCCGCGGCACTTTCCGCAGAAGTTGCTGGGAGGTTCCCGGGTTCGGGCGGGCGCGTTCCGGGGCCAGTTCCGGGCAGGTTCCAGCGAGGTTCCGGCAGGTTCTGAAGTAGGTCGAAGTAGGTTCCAGGTGAAGCTCAATGCCTTCACTACACCCCCGACAATCGTATTGCAAATGCTTTAATTTGGCTTTCCAGAGCTCGAAACTGCATTTTTCAAGCCTTGGAAAACGCATTTAGGCTAAACGCAATTGGCCGTCGAAAATCGTACTGCCAATGCGCTTAGTTTAGTTTCCCAGGCTCCAAAATGCATTTTTCCAGGCTTGGAAACGCACTTAGAGTTGTCTCAGCTTTGCTTGTGCTCCCGGCCCCCAGTCTCCGAACTCAACACGATCTCCCGAAGCCTCCGACCGAGCCTAAATGCATTTTTCAACATCTGGAGCGCCAAAATTGGCTGTCCGCTTGAGTTGGGCGAAGCGCACGTTTTCCAGGCTCCAAAATGCATTTTTCAAGGCTTCGAAATCATATTTAGGGTTTCACCTTTGCTGGTGCCCTTGGCGGTGTCCTTGGCCCCACTCCCAAGGCCATAATTGAGCGCTCAAATGCATTTGCCAAGGCAATCTGGAGCTCAATGCCGCCCCTAAACCTGAACATCGCACTGCACATCTTTTCCGTTTGGTTTCCAGGCCCCAAAATTCATTTTTCAATTCTTGGAAAACGCATTTAGTGCTGTTTCAGCTTTGCTGGGGTTCCTGGCCCCTGTCCCCGCAGTTGGCCCTGTTTGCAACAAAGCTCGAGCTCAATGCTGTCCCTACACCCGAAATCGCACCGAAGATGCTTTAATTTAATTTCCATCACATCAAAATGCATTTTGCAAGGCTTGGAAAACACGTTTAGATTGACCAATCCCGAAATGTGTTTTCCGGCCTGCTAAACACACTTGGCCCGGGTTTCAACAACTCTGGAGCACAATGCTGCCCCTACACCCGAAAATGCTGCCACATCTCGTGTTCAACCCTATAATGTGAACCCAACGACAGCCCTTCCGCTGTTGGGG